CTGCATATTGTTGAAACTCATGGAGGCGCCCCGGCAGCGCTTTTACTCGGTCGCCCTCTTGCGCCGCCTTGATTTCTGGCTCAAGTTCCGACGAGAAGACAACGGAGGTGAATGCAAACATAGATACAAAGGCACAAAGCAAACCTTGAAAAACATTTTAGATTTTGCTTTATCTTTACTCCCTCCATTTATGATATGAAGGGACTGTAAAAGAGTTTGTGAACAAACACATGACCCCAATACTTGTCTTCATATGTAAAATGATTCAAGTACAACTACAATATATGGCAGCGAAACGCCTAAATAAATGTCTTGCCTAAGATCATGTCCCCACTAGAATTAGAAAAAGCCCATTTCTATGAAAAATCTTCAGTTTGGATTAACAAAATGAATATAGAGAAAACAATTTTAATACCACATTTTCCTTATTTATCTAGATTTTTTCCCATTAAAGTGGTAGATTCTTTTTACTATTATTTTCTAATGTAAGAGAGATGTGGTAATGTCTATATACAATCAAAAATTTGTGGAGGGAAAAAGTTTTTGTTTTGGAAGAGTTGTACATTACTAATGAAGTCGGCATTATGCCTTATTGGTTTAAATTTCAATTATATGTAGTCTCCAAGTTTACTAAATATATTTTTTTTTTTGGTAATCGGGGTGTCGAGTCAGCTCGCACGTATTAACTAATTTTCGTCATCCATTCATGAATCTCTACAGCTTAAAATGATAGATAAGTCACAATATTATTGTAATAGATAATCCTAACATTTGAATCCAAAAACGTAAAGAATGTTACTTTCTCTATTTCTCTTCTCATGTCAACAGTACATCCTAACTCAAATTATTACACATAAATAATTACAAGTATACCTTTACCCTTTACACTATATATAAACATAGTTTCCAACACTCCCCCTCAAGCTGAGAATATATATCTATCATGCCAACTTGTTACAAATATAGGTTACCCTTTACCAACTAGAGACTTCGTGAAGATGTCAGCTAGTTGTTCCCCTGTTCTAACATGATTAGTAGCAATTAACTTTTGTTCAAGTTTCTCTCGTACAAAGTGACAATCCACTTCTATATGCTTAGTCTCTCGTAAAAGACTGGATGTTTGCTATATGTATGGCTGCTTGGTTGTCACAACACAAGTCCATAGTCCTTGGGTCACCAAACCCAATTTCTCTAAGAAGATGTCTTGTCCATATGAGCTCACACGTAACTTGTGCCATAGCCCGATACTCAGACTCTGCGCTGACCTGCTACAACGGTGCTCTTACTTTTCCAAGAAATAAGATTTCTTCCAACAAACATAAAACCCAGTCACAGACCGTCTATCCACAGAGGATCCTGCCCAACAACATCTGAAAAACCTTCTACTTATTAGACCATGGTCACTATAAAGAATCTCACGTCCAGGGACTCCTTTTAGATATTTCAAGATATGGAAGACCGCATCCCAAGGAATGTCCTAGGAGAGACATAAACTGACTAACCACACTCACTAAAAACGCAATATCGGAAGGGTTACTGTAAGGTAGTTTAACTTTCCAACTATCCTCTGTACCTCTCTGGATCACCAAACACTCTCCATCCTCAGCATTCAATCACATTAGGAACCATAGGAGTGTCACAAGGCTTAGCCTCACTTAGACCCATTTCAGTTAAACACATCTAACATATATGCGTTGAGAGAGAAAAATCTCTTTCTTACTCCGAGAAACCTCAACTCCGAGAAATACCTTAAAGTACCCAAGTCTTTGTAGAAATTTGAAGCCAAACAGTTTTTCAAACTCTGAATGGAACACATCATTGCTAGTGATTAAAATGTCATAACATAAACCACCAAAGAATGATGCCAGAACTCGATTGTTATAAAAGACAGACTGATCATAAGCACTCTTATGTAAAAGACTGAGTCACCACTTCGCTAAACCTCCCAAACCACGCCCGTGGAGATTGCTTTAAGTCATATAAAGATTTCCTCAGTTTGCATACCTTTCTGACCCCCCTGAGCACAAACCCGGGAGGTTGCTCCATGTAAACCTCTTCAAGAAGATCACCATGTAAAAAGGCACTTTTTACATCAAGTTTGTGAAAAAGGCCAACGATATGAAGCTGTAAGAGAAATGAATAGTCGGACAGAGGTCATTTTAGCCACTGGGGAGAATGTCTCAAAAAATCAATACCATAAATCTGGGCATAACCTTTAGCAACCAAACGAGCTTTCAACCGAGCTACCGTCCTATCGGGATTAGCCTTCACTATGAAAACCCATTGACCCAATAGCCTTTATTTTCAGGCAACCCCATTAGAAACCATGTATCATTATGTTTAGAGCCAAAATCTCTTCTTCATAGCCCGTCGCCACCATCACATTAGAACCCATGTATCATTATGTTCTAGAGCCCCATCTCTTCTTCCAAGCCCGTCGCCACCCATCATGAGCAATTGCTTCAGACACAGAGTTGGAACAGAACAGAGTCTAAAGAGGCAATAAAAGACTTGGAAGATGAAGACAGAAAGTGATAGGAAACAAAAGAGGAGATGGATGGTAAAGAGGCTTACCTTTACGAAGAGCAATGGGAAGATCATGATCATGGTCAGAGGATGGCGGAACCGGATCAGAGGAGAGGCAGTCGATAGGGCAGTGGATCAGATGTTGCTGCAGGTGTCTATGGTGCTAGTGAACTCTGCGAGAGTATACCGGGGTGATGGAGGACGAGATGGTAGAGGACTAGTGGGTAATGTAGTAAACAAGAAGATCATCAGGGGGTGCTTCAAGAAGTAAATGAAGTGGAGGACTCAACATATGGAGTGGTTTCAAAAAAGGAAACATCAGTTGAGATAAGGTACTTACTAGGAGCGAGGAAAAACAATGATAACCCTTCTGATATCGGGAATAACCCAGAATAGGACTTGAGGGACCTAGGTCAAATTTGGATGCATGAGGTCTAACATCTTGAACAAAGCACGTGCACCAACACTTTTGGAGGAAGAGAGAATAAAGGCTGTGATGTGAGGAAAAGGATGGAGAACGGGATTTGACCGCCCAAAACAGATAAGGCATGCGATTGATCAAGTGACATGTTGTAGAGATAGCATCTGCCCAAAATTCTGTAGAGACTTTCATGTGAAAAAGGAGAGTACGAGCGACTTCTAATAAATGACGATTTTGCGTTCAGAAAACTCCATTTTGCTGAGGTTATAAACAATGATGACTGATGAATAATACCTCTAGTAGACAAAAAAGAAGAGAAAGGAGCAGAAAAGTATTCTTTGGCATTATCACTTCGAGAATTTTAATAGATGAAGTAAATTGATTTTGTATTTCTGCATAAAAGGTACAAAAAATGGAGAATATTTCAGAACGATTTTTCATAAAGTACAACCAAGTTACATGTGAAAAATCGTCCACAAAATAATAAAATATCGATATCCAGACTTTGACAACACAGGGCAAGGACCCCAAACATCAGAGTGTATAACATCAAAAGGGGTTGTGGCTCTTTGTTTATCTAGGGCTATAGGACACTCTATGGTGTTTTCAAACTGACACACCTCACACTCAAGGTGTGACACTGACCTACATTAGGACACAACCTTTCAAAATGGGAAGGGGAGGATGACCAAGGCGACCATGCAGTATGGGTAGAGATGAATCACTGGTACAAGCAATAGGTTGAGAGACAGGAGTGGAGACACATCGAGCTATATAGGCCACCTGATACATGACCCCTACCAATAATCCGCCTCGTCCCAAGATCCTGAAATATACAGAGCAGGAAAAAGTAAACACCACAATTGAATGCGGTAGTAATTTGACTAACTGATAAAAGATTAAAGGGAAAATAGGGAAGGCACAAGACAGAGATTTGTTGAGATGGGTGGTACCACATCCAATGGTAGGTGCAGTAGACCCATTAGTAAAGTAACCGAAGACAATTGGGAGAATGTGTAAATGAGGAGAGAATAATTGTATCGCTGTCATATGATGGGTAGCACCAGAATCAATAACCCAGTTACTACTAGAAGTGGACAAGCCGGCTGTAGGATTACCTAACTGGGTAAAGTAGTGGTAGTCAATGGGATGGATGACTGGGAGCAAGCATTCTGAGTGAGACGGCATATTCTACTGCAGAGATAGTAATCTGTGATGGGATGGGTAAGAGACCATCTTGAGTTACAACATGAGCAACTTATGAGTGTTTTGCATATTCAGGGGCTTGCCATGAAGCTTCCAACATTTTTCTTTACATGACCCTCAACACCACAGTGAAAGCAAGTACGAGGGCCATACCACGATTGTTCCTAGGATCACGACTTGTCCTTTGTTACCTTTGCTATCACAGAATTCATGCTAGCTAGGGGCAGATCAACATTAGGATCCTTGAAGGTTTCTTGTCCTTAGAAACTCCTCGATGTCCCCCTTACTAACTCTGAGAAGGCGAGAAAGACATGTAAGAGAGGAAGTGTCTCATCGGTAAGAAGTTGTGTATGAGCTATCTCATATTCGGTCTCAACCCAGCCAGAAAACATTGCACAAACCACCTGTCTTCTTGTGCTTTCATCATTTTCAGTCAATAGGAACATGAAACGTAGCCCTTTTTTCTTCAAAGGCTTGTTTTATCTTGTATAATATTCGAGCAATGTCTTCTCTTGCATATTGCTCGATATATTTTAATAACAATTCGTGGGCATGAGACAAGTCTTTGTTACCAACATACAAGAACTCAGATACTCCCATAACTCCTTGATTGATCACAGTGACCAATACATCATCACGGACGAATCAAGAGTATTCTGAATCTGATTGAAGAGCTTATCATCTTCCATGAGCCATCTCTTTCGAGTTTTACTATCATCCTGTTTCCTCAGGTGGATCCTCGATTAAATGGTTCCCCATATCAAGCTGGTAGGCAATTTCTTATTGGCCAAGAAGTGTTGAACCAGCTGAAGAGATTGCTTTGGTGCAAAAGTTGGAACTTGGTGACCAGCTCCTCTAATTGTTACAAACATAAGTCCATCATATTCTATTGTCCACCCACCAACCTATAAATAAATATTAAAATCCCAAAATTATAATCTTTAACAATTAGATAAAATAAAAAAAATATATATATATAAATTTCACTATAAAAATGAAATTAATTTACCTGTCGATTACTAGTGTACCAGGGTTTCCATTCTTGAAGGGTCTTCAATCCAAGCTTTCTTAAAGTTAATCTAGTTGCAGTTACTGGAATTCTTCCATCAGTATCTCCACTGCCATTTTCACAATTTGTTTCAAACTTCAATCATTGAGTTAATCATTAGAATATCAATGTATATATAGTTAGTTTATTACCTGTAAACCCAAATGCGAAGACCTCCAGCTATGAGCTTTTTAATAATAGGAAGAATCGATGATGGTGCATCAGACCAAAACGATATCTTCTCACTGTAGAGACAAAATATATACAGCCCAACACTGAGTGTAATTTCACATGGCCATTCAAATTATTAAAACGATGGCCAGAAAGGAAAGAATTGTAGCGACCTGCAATGAGTCCAAGGATATGGAATTTTTGTAACATTAGCATGGAGTGCCTTTTGAACCTCAGGCCTGTTCAAATATTCCTCAGTGTAATCCGACAAGCAAGGATCATAACCAGCTGGTTTTCGATGCCAAGCATCCTGTAGATCCCCAACTTAGACGTTTATAATATTAAAATAAATAAATAAATAAAAATTGTAGTTTATTGATTCTCGACGAGAAAGAATTAACACTTACGTATTTTGAAAACAGTTTAGGAGCGATGCCTTGAATGATATGAAGGTGTCGGTTTGCGGCGGAGGTGGAGTTACTATCGACACAAGTCGGAGTGTACAAGCTGTACATGTCGATAATCTTGTAAACGTCGAAGTACTGATTGAGGGCGCGGCTGCAACTGGTGGATTGATGATCGCTGTCGATGCTGAAGTTGCAGTGGCTTTTGATATTATGATACAAACGATCTGATATCACTGCATGATCCCATGCATAATCAATCATTCCTGTTTGATCTGTTTCATCGTCCAACAATGCATTTCCAACCTACGTACGTAGCGTAGCTCATATTAAAAATTGCATGCAATGTAGAAAATTAAATAATAAATATATAGTAATAAATTTTACCGCAAAGCCCTTCAGATTTATGTATTTGTCCTTGGAAACTTTCTTATTACTATCGTATATGACCTCCGCAAGCTGTGGAACATAGTGCCCTGAATATATAATAAATGAGAGTTAGATGTATAAAAATAAATAAGCATAATGTGATTTGAATTTGTTTTTTGGTACCTGCATAGCTTTCTCCAGCTATGTAGAACTCATGGGACTTGAACTGTGGGAATCTCTTGAACCAGTTGATAAGAAATTTATATGAATCCTTAGCTATATGATCATAGAAAAAAGATAATGAGAGACAAGGAAATCGTTTATGAATATTTGATTATTTATTTTTTTGAATTTATGACCTGTAACTGCGTCTCCAAGCTGTCGGATGTCGTTACTGGTATTAGTGTACGAAAATCCAACTCCAACAGGTGATTCCACAAACAACAAATTGGCCACTGAGTGAAAATTAATGAAAAAAAAAACATAATTATATTATTTTATTTTATTTGGAGCAAATAAATAATTAATATAATAAATTTGTAATGAAGCGTTGGTACCTTTGTTCCATCTGTAAGGGTTGAGCTTTAGCTCCGGTTTGCCTTTCTGAGATAAGAAGGGCCCTAGCTCCTCTGCTTCTCCATAACCAATTGATGAGCACCCGGGGCCTGCAGATACATGTGTAATTGATTATAGTATAGTTAGAGACGATGAAAATAAGTAAATTGTATGATTTTATTAGAAGAATGTTGGATAATATAATAGGTCCATCCTACATAAATTATTTTTTGTTTAATTTAAGTCAGTTCATTAGGCACTGAATGAGATCCTATAATTAAAATTGGAAAAAAAAGAATAAAGGTCAGCTTTCTTATGTACATGCTACGAAAAGATAAATAAAAAAATGTAGATTGAAGCAATTAGTAGCTTCTTTTATATCAAGTCAAATAACTTTTAACTTGTGTGATCCGTGATTACAGATGTTATATAATTAAACATATGTACAGCTCCTGCCCTATTTAATAATTATAAAGTAAGAAGGTTGAATGTCATGGTTTGGCAGCATGAAGATAGCCAGCAATAAATTATCATGAAAAGCCATAGGTACGATCGAGAGTCAACATGATCAAAAAGAAGAAGAAGAAGAAGACATGGCAATACAAAAGAAGGTGTGTCTGGTTTAATAAGTAATGGTGTCAAATTAGTGAGCAGATTGAGAGGATATATAGCTTTGGCACCACTCATTAATTATCATCAACGACTTTGCATCCAACCAAATTATAATGCCAGGAAGAAATACTGTTTGGTCAAATTCCAGATATGCATAATTGCCACAGGAGAAAATCAAAAAGGAAAATGTCCAGTCAAACTTAGAGAAGATGATGATGATGACTATCATATAATTGTGTTAGCTACTAGTCAAGAATTCAATAATTAAGCATGTTATATATTAATATATATATATATATATATAGTATTACATTAATTGTTCTATCTCTAACTATTCTTTTACCCTACCACCTTCGTAAATATACAGTAGACAGACTGTTACGTGTATATGTAAGTGGAAGTGGAATCTCTCTTGGAATGAAGACAAACCATACTCATCCACTTCTCTGAAAAATTTTAGGAATAAATGGTTTACGACACATTACTAATAGCCAAAACGGGACCATGCGGAATGCTATTAACAATCTCTGGTGTCATTCATACACATATATGGCTTATCATTTTGAGGAAAATGAGTGGTGAAAACTCCCAGTTAAGTTTACTTTCAATCTCTTTTTCCATTTCTTTTTGGATTTTCTTTCATGTTGTTCAATGGGGGATTGAGACAAGACTGAGACTGAGGCTTCGTTTCCACCGCAATAAAAATAGGTTATATATATAACTATAATTTTTCTGGTAAAATGTCTCAATCAAATTATTCTTCTATTTTTGAAGTGACGATGGAATACCCCAAATACAAATGTATATTACATATTTTTATTAATTTCAAATAAAAAATATTATGTTCTGTATACAAATATACATATCTATAGTGTAACTCTGCAAGTAGTTAATACATTTATTAAAATTAAAGAACGGAATCTGCTGAATAAAACGACTGAGGTGAATTACCTCCATTGAGCCATAAGAGAAGAGGCTTTTTTTCAGGATTACTGGCGGCCTCGAAAAACCAATAAAACAGTGCTCTTCCATGAGTTTCATTCACTGTAACATAACCTGCATATTGCTTGAATGTTACTGGAGGCTGCCCTGGAAGTCTAATCACTCGGTCTGCTTCTTGTTCAGCCAAAACATCTTTATTCACCTCAAAACCACTCGCTTTAACTAAGCTCAAACTTAGAGGAGAAAAAAGAAGAAAAAGAAGAATATCTGACGAAAAAATATTCAAAGCCATTGGATAATATTTGTCAGTAGTTGTTTTCTCTGTGATATAAGGAGACTATGTCATATTTATATGTGGTCTACGTAGTGACAGATAAGAATCAAGCGCAAAGTTGCTGTTACATATATATATATATATATATATATATATATAAAAGAAATGATAATTGTTTTTTACATAATTATTATGCAGTTTTGGAGTTATTGTGATGTGAAGAGGTACGCAGCTCATAAAGCTTCGTTGCTTTCATTGAAAATAAAGGGAAAATTTGGTCTTTTCAAAGATCCTAAATATAAGGGGGATGAATCTTTTTATTCATATCAAATAGTTAATTGACCAAGTTTGGGTTTAGTCAATTGCTTTAGGTTGAAACTGTTGAACCCTGAATATATCAACACTGCTGTTGACACAACGTTCCTTCCCAAAAACATTAGGTTGCAATTAGATTAACTATTTATTAATTAATAACATGCTTTATAATTTTAACCAATTGATTAATGACATACCTTGGAATTAATTAATTAGATTTAAGAAATTAATATATGAACTATAAATAAATAAGAAATTTACAATGTGAAAGGCCGAGTATGATAAAATAAAAAAAACTGATTCTAATTTAATAACAATAATCCTAAAAGAAACTAAATCCTAGAAACTGATGATAATTATATTTTAAGATAATTATCACCTGATTGATAAAGTAATCCTTAATTGAAATTCAGAAAGCAGCAGATGGGAGGTGCTTGTTGGCGAGGAAGTGTTTGATAATTTGAAGAGAACGCTTTGGAGCAAACGTAGGAACTTGATGGCCAGCTCCCCTCACTGTTACGAATATCAAACCTTCATATCGAATACTCCAACCTCCAACCTGTATCGTTTACATTTCTTTTACATTAAGATCACTTTCATTCCATTTTTATTTTTATATGTTCGGTTTATAAACAAACTATGTGAACAAGATCTTTTCAGTTCTCTCAATCTGATACCAGGAGTATATTACAAGTATAACAAGATTTCCATGCATGCAGTTTAGAGATGGATTGCCTAAATTAACGTTCAAGTATCATTCTACTAATACCTCTCTGTGGTTGTACCATGGAGTCCAATCTTTTGTGATATTCAGTGCCAGCTTATTTAAAGTGTACCTTGTTGAGGTCACTGGAACTCTTCCATCTGTATCTCCACTAAAGTAACAACAAATATATATGATTACATGATCAATTATATAGAAATGTTTTCTACTAAAATAAGAGAAAACATTTACAATAATGGTTGAATTAACTTTTACCTGAAAACCCATACACGAATTCCCCCGTCAACGAGTTTTTTAATTACTGGAATGATAGAAAAGGCTGAGTCCTTCCAAGCATTGCTCACCTCGGTGCTGAAGATTATTTTATCATCAGAAGCAAATATATATCTTGTAAAACTGATAGGATTAGGTTTTAATTAACCTGCAAATGAGCCATGGACGAGAAATTTTGGTAACATTTGCATGCAATGCCTCTTGAACATCTGGACGATTGAAGTAGTCGGTCGCATAGTTGATGATACATGGATCATACCCATACCCTGCTGGTATTTTGCCTAATATTTTCTATCAAAAACATATAGAGAAATTACAATAGGATCCAATGTATAAAAAAGAAAAAAGAAACGATAAAAAAAGTATACCATTCTGGAAAATGAATTGGGTTGCAGCGAGAGTGTCGTAGAGGCAAAGGGACGTTGGAGGGGACAAGTAGGAGAGTACAAGCTATACATGTCGATAAGATCATATAATTCATAATATTGGAATAATGGATCCAAGCATTGTTGGGTTAGATTTTGTTTGCTGAAATCACAGTTTGCCTTAATTGAGTTATAAACTCCATCTGAGATAACTGCATGTCCCCACGCATAATCAATCATCCCTTTTTGATCCATTTCATAATCCAATAACGCATTTCCTATCTGCAGTCATTATATATATATATGAAGAAACAATTACTTTACGTCATATTTTATGCTATAATCAAGTTATTACTTACAATAAAACCTTTGAGATTGATAAAATTATCCTTCGTTGTTTTTTCGTTCTCATCAAAGATAACCTCAGCAAGTTGTGGTACATAGTGCCCTGAAATTAATTAATTTAGAGAACTTATGTAATGTTGAAGTAATATCAGTCAAGGAGATAGCTCGAAGAATATATATATATATATATAAATATCAGTAAGGAGATAGCTAGAAGAATACATATATATATATATATAACACCTGCGTAGCTTTCTCCTGCTATGTAGAATTCATGGGATCTGTATTGTGGAAACCTCTTCAACCAATTTTGGAGAAATGTGTATGAATCCCGCGCTGCAAAATTATATTAAATCGTGAAATAAAGAAAGTTAAAGAAGATTTGTGATTGATTAAATTAGTCGTAAATTGACATCTAATTAGCAATACTGCTAAGTACTTAGGGAAAATTCTATGAGCTCTGTATGTGTGTGTAGAAATGAAAAGGCAACATCTGGTAATAAATGGGGTGGATGAGTGGGCGCCCATTAGCCACCACAGTGCCAGTATCAGTAACATCATACCTTTAATTCTATATCAAAATATCTTTGTCACGTACCTGTAATATTATCTCCTTGAATATCGACACTGGTATTTGAATATGAAAATCCAACGCCAGCCGGAGCTTCCAAGAACAATAAATTCGCCGCTGAAGTAGTCATTGAATGAAACGAGTTATTAGTACTATATGGAACCAACTAAATGAATGCTATACTCAACTGTTAAAAATCTTTTCTTCATTCTTTGCTATAGAAGAGAGAGAAAAGTGGGTGATATTATTTATGCCTTTATTCCAAGTGTAGTTGTTGAATTTGAGCGTTGGTCCATCAGTAACCAAGAATGGTCCCAGCTCCTGTGCCTCACCAAATCCTACTGAAGAACATCCCGGACCTGCAGGACAGGGCATACAGTTAATTACACATTGTTCAGCTCTATGATAAAGGGCAGGGCAAACTGCCAAATCGTGGGTAGGGATATATATTCCTTCATAATTATGAAAATAAGGCTGTAAACATATGGTTGTAATATAATTTGTTTAATATGATTGGTAATTATAAAGAATAAAAATTGAAAGTAGTTATAGAATTATGAAACAACTCAAATGAGCCTCAGAGTTTATGCATGAATTGTTGAATGTATGCGATAGAATTATACCTCCATTAAGCCACAAAAGGAGAGGTTTGTGAGCAGGATTGTGTATGGCTTCAAAAAACCAATAGAAAAGAGCCTTCCTATGATTCTCATCAACTGTCACATACCCTGCATATTGTTGAAACCTCACTGGAGGCTGCCCCGGCAGCGCTTTTACTCGGTCGCCCTCTTGCGCCGCCTTGATTTCTGGCTCAAGTTCCGACGAGAAGACAACGGAGGTGAATGCAAACACATAGATACAAAGGCACAAAGCAAACCTTGAAAACCCCATTTTAGATTTTGCTTTATCTTCTACTCTCCTCCATTTATGATATGAAGGGACTGTAAAAGAGTTTGTGAACAAACACATGACCCCAAACTACTTGTCTTCATATGTAAAATGATTCAAGTACAACTACAAATATATGGCAACGAAACGCCTAAATAAATGTCTTGCCTAAGATCATGTCCCCACTAGAATTAGAATACCCCATTTCTATGAAAAATCTTCAGTTTGGATTTACAAAATGAATAATAAAGAAAACAATTTATAATACCAACATTTTCCTTAAATTTATCTAGATTTTTTTCCCATTAAAGTGGTAGATTCTTTTTACTATTATTTTTCTAATGTAAGAGAGATGTGGTAATGTCTATATACAATCAAAATTTGTGGAGGGAAAAAGTTTTTGTTTTGGAAGATGTTGTACATTACTAATGAAGTCGGCAATTATTGCCTTATTGGTTTCAAATTTTCAATTATATGTAGTCTCCAAGATTTACTAAAATATATTTTTATTTTTTGATAATCGGGGTATCCGAGTCAATTTGCACGCATTTTAACTAATTCCCGAAATTCATTCATGAACTCCCTACAAGCTTAAAGAGATAAATAAGTTACAATGTTATTGTGGTAGATAGCCCCAAGATTTAAATCAAAAAACTTAAAAGAATTGAAGAAACCTCCTTAGGACAACGCCTTAGGGTTACTAAAATAGTATTGATCCTTCCATTTGAGTTTGGCCAACACCAAGAGCTAGCTTTGCTTGTTGAGATATTCTATTATGCCAGCCAAACGGGAACGGGCTTGTGCGATTAAGCACTAGTTTGATAAATGGGCTAAACTAGGGCCCCTCATATAATTATTAATTTGCTTATAAACTTAAGTTTAGAATTTGTCAATAAGAAAACCTCCCTTAAAGTTTAATAAACACATTTAACGTTAATTATTAAGTTAAAAGTCTTTACTTAACTTCTAATTAAACCTCTTGTAAGTAAGTCAAATCCTAAGGGAGTTGAAGCAGATTTCAATGTAAATTTTATGATTGGTTGATATACGTGTGATAAAAATATTTAAATAATGGCCAAAAAATTTGGGATGCTTTTTCAAGCAATTGTCAACTTTATTTACATTGGTAAACAAAGGATATAACGATACATGTGAATTTCATCTCTTATAACAAAGCAATTGGCAACGGTGCCAAAAACTTGATGCGTTGTAATTACAACATGCAATGTGTAGCAAGTACACTAGTCGCAAAAAGTAATAAAGTGATAAATAGAGTATCATTCTCACAAAGATAGTGTTACTAAGTATCGATTTCTCTAGTTTAAGTCATAATTGAAGCAACAATAAATTGGATTGATGGAAAATTAACAACTAAATACAAATTAACAAAATGTAAATGAGTGATAATGAAATGAAAACAAAACCCAACAACTTAACTAATTAAACAATGCTAAAAAAATGCTAGGGTGTTGATTTCACCTAGATACGCTAACCCAAATCATAAATCTATTACCCAAGTTCTAATTTCTTGATTGAAAATCGAATTCCCTAAGTTATAAAACATACATTCTCAGGCTATATTTTTCTACTTATCCCTATTAAGCTTTCGTACCCAACAAAATGAAGATTAATTTCTTTTAAGCTCTATGGAATTCTATTTAGATTTCATAGATCGCTAAACCTATCTCTAACGTTTGCTTAATCTACGGTATTTATCCCAAGAGGCACAATCACAAATCACTTCTCAGTCTCGTTGTGAAGAACACACATTTGAATGGTGATCAAGCATTCAAAAATCATTAAGCAAAAAGATAAACACTCAATCATGAAATTATAACTCAAAGTAAATCAATTCATATAAATTTGAATCATTGTATCAAGTTTACATCAAACCCTAACTAAACAATTCATTTAATACTCAAAAACAAAATAAAATAAAAAAAAAAAAACTGAATCAAGATTCATCATTGAAAAACAAGCAAAAGATGGAGAAATCTTCTCTAAATTGAAGCTCAAATCTTCAATAATCTTCTCCTTCCAAAAGTTGCCTTCCAAATGATGAACCAAGACCCTTTTTCTTTCATTTTCATGCTAATTTATATCTCTTTCACTTAACTACCAAGCCCTAGCAAGCCAAAACGCGTCATTTTATTTTTCACATCTGACGTAGTTTCACCACAGCGAATATTTTTCTTTGCTGCAGCGAGAATATTTTGGGCCAAATTTGAGCATGAAATAGTCTGAATCTAGAAAGGTGTTAAACATATGAATTGTAGCCCTTTAAATTATATTTATACTCGTTCAAGAATCAGCACAATCCGAGGTCTACAGCTCAAGTTATGGTAGAAATACTGAAGCACGTCCAAAGACATTTTTCTTCAGTTTCCAATGTACTGTTTACGAATTCAAGCCAAGTTTTCACCCTTGTCCAGTCAGAATTAGGAAAAACCCAAAGCATAAAAGTTGTAGCTCTGCTTCTTAGCTTTCCAAAGCTTCTAAAATCAGGTCATTCTGAGTTTCTAAGCTCAAGTTACATAATCTACGCTCAAAACTGTCATTTATACTCAAAATCATCGTTTAGGCCTACAAAGACAAATTAATAGAATTAGGTACCAATTATGGCCCAAATTGTATGATAAGTATCCTAAATCCTATCGAAATTCAATGCAAAATCATAGGGAAAAATAAGATTATCAGTCATCCCTGCCTTGCGGTATATTATTTCAAGTATGGATGGGCGTCCATTATATGTGGATGCCCGTCCATAACCTATGAACGGTCGTTCATTATTTTTGGACGGGTGTGCACATATAACTGACGCTCGTCCATACTGTAAATTAAAAAAAAAAAATTAGGATGCTCGTCCATTATTATGTGGACGGACATCCCTAACTTGTGGACAGACATCCCTAACTTGTGGACAGACGTTAACATATAATGGACGTCTGTCAATACTTTCAATGAATACAAAAATTTTAAAACAATTTTTTTGGATGTTCGTCTATATGTTATAGACGGGAGTCCATATAAAAAGGACGGTCGTCCATATAATATGGACGACCATTCATAATATAATAAAATGTTTTTTTTTAATTTAATTTTTTTTATTTGTAAAAAACATTAGCTTCTCCAATAAGACTTCTCCAAAACAAGCGCCAACATTTTGCGAGCAAAAAAAAAAGAAAAAAAGAAAAAAAGAAAAACCTTCATTTTGCCTTCTGCTTCATCGTTCCCATCTGTTCTTCGCGTCTACATTCTTCTTGTCTGCGGCTATACCAGTTTCTTCCTTAACAACCAACTACCGTGAAAAAAAAGAAAGCCATAAAATTTTCATAAAACAATCGTTTAGGGTGGAAAGAGAGATAGGAAGATCAAAATTTTTTTAGATTAGAAAGATTTGTTGAGGTTGTTAAGCTGTTTTTATTTAACTTATGCATTTATTTAGTTTTGTATTCTATTTTGGATTGAATATATGTTACAATAGAAAATAACTAATAGAGAATATTTGTTGGTGATTATTATGAATCAGATTCATGAACGCGAACACTAGTATTGGTTTTGCATTAAATTACAGAATATGGAAGAGTCCAATTTGCCTCATTTCAATGATGTTGAGGTAAATTGTGCTCAAAACCTTAACTTTTTCGTTAACATGATTTTAAATTTATTGTATTGTATTGTTTCTTATGATGTGTTATATTAGTACATTCTAATTTTGTCCATTATAAAACTATTAAATGATCAAGAAAATGAACATGATGAATTAGAAGATATGGGATGTGCAGAGGAAGAAGTGGAGCCTCATATTGGAATGGTGTTTGATTCAGTTGATAGTCTGGTGAAGTATTACAAATGATATGATAACAAAATGGGATTTGAAGCAATGATATGTACGTCAAAGAAAAGCGATGATGAAGAGATGAGATATGTGACAGTGGCATGTTCTTGTTCTGGGAAGGAGAGATGTAAATCCAGAAATACCTTGAAAAAGCAACCTATTGCCAAAACAAATTGTAAGAGTCGGATTAGTGCAACTTTGAATGGTGAATGCAAATGGGAAATTAAATCAGTTGTACTTGAACATAACCATGATCTTACAAGTCTGACAAAAAGAAGATATTTCAAGGTTAACTGAACGATACAACCTTATGTGAAAATGAGGCTTGAAGTTAATGATGTGGTTGGGATTAGACTGTGTAAAACTTTTCAGTCATGTTCAGTTGAGGCAAGAGGTGTAGAGAATTTGACGTTTCTATAAAAAGATTGTAGCAACTACATTGAAAAAGTGAGAAGGCTACGACTTTAGTTGGAGATGCTTTGGCAGTACTTGAATATTTTATGAAAATGTAAAAGGAGTATTCAAATTTTTGGTACATGATTGATATAGATGAAGAGAGTCGATTACAGAATGTGCTATAGGTTTATGATAGATGTAGGGTTGTATATAAAGAATTCGGTGATGTTGTCACCTTCAACACAACGTATCTGACGAACAAGTATGACATGCCATTTTCTGCTTTTGTGGGGGTTGATCATCATGGACATTCGACGTTGTTAGGTTATGGGTTAATTTCCCATGAGGACACTGAGACATTTGTATGACTATTTCGTTCTTGGCTTGAATGCATAGATGTTGCTCCTAATGGAATTATCATTGATCAAGATAAGACCATACAAAATGCAATTGAGATTGTTTTCCCTAGTACAAGACATAGGTGGTGTTTGTGGCATATAATGAAGAAATTGCCTGGAAAGTTAAGAAGGTATAAGGAATATGAAACTATAAAGTTTAAGTTACAAAATATTGTGTATGATTCCTTTACACATGAAGAGTTCGAAGAACGATGGAACCAATTTATTGATGTGCACAACCTTCACGAGAATGGATGGTTATGTGGATTGTACAAAGAAAGAGTACGATAGGTGCCTGCATTTCTTAAAGATACTTTCTAGGTAGGTATGTCTCATACCCAATGTAGTGAAAGTATTCATGCATTTTTTGATGAATATGTAAATTCTAAAACTACTTTGAAACAATTTGTAGAACAAGATGATAATGCATTGCGAGATAAAGTGGAAAAAGAAATGGAGG